AGCACTTAAATTATTTCCATCTTTTGGTTATTGTGACTAATGTTGTAATGAACATGGGTATGAGTATATCTGTTTGTGTCACGGCTCTTATTTCTCTAGGATGTAAACCTAGTAGTAGGATTGCTGGGTGACATGATATTTCTATTTCCAACTTCTTAGGAAGCACCCTAACACTTTTCACAGTGATTCTACCACTTGACAGTCCTATCATCAGTGTACGAGGGTTCCAGTCTCTCCACATTCTCACCAGCATTGGTTGTTTTCTATTTTTTTGAACTTTGCTATTAAAGCTAAGGTGAGATGGTATTTCATTAGTGTTTTGATTTGCATCTTTCTACTGGCTAATGATCACAACTATTTCTTCATGTGGTTGTTAGCCACCAGAATTTCTTCTTTGATGAAGTGTCTGCTCATGTCTTCTGCCCATTTTTTAATTGGGTTGTCTGTCTTTTTGTTGTTGAAGTATTGAAGTTTTCTATAAAGTTTTGAGATAGTTCCTTGTCTGATATGTCATTGCCAAAGCATTTTTCCCAGTCTGCAGGTTCTCTTTTTACTGTTTAGGCAAAGTCTTTTGTTCCATATGTTAATTTTTAGGAGGTCCTGGTCATCTAGTATGTCTTCTGCTATTTGTGTATTTATAGTTATGTCTGATAGTGTATTTATGCCTTCCCACTTTTTTTGATGCTTCCTGCATCATTCAATATTATGCCCATAGACTCCTTTAATACAGCAACTCAAGACCTGAATGTTTTCTTCAGGTCTTTCAGCTTGAGAAATGCCAAGGATGTTCTTCTCTTTTGGTTTTCTAACTCCAGATCTTTTTGCACATTTCATATAGCAGTGTGTCTCTTAAATCTTCTGTTCAGTCTTTTTTTCCTTCATTCTTCTTTGCTGTCGATGAGGAGAGACCACCAATAGTTGTGCCTCAGAGGGCCACTCACAAGCTTTTACAACCCCAGTCACCACTCACCCAAAGTAGGATGTAGAACATTCTCTTGGAGGACTATTTTATGCCAATTGACCTTAGTGTCCTCTGAGACTATGGTCCTGAGCCTTTATACCCAGCGACTCATTCCCTTAAGGTGTTTAGTTATGACTAAGACATTTTTATAACTTTGTTCCCTATATGCTCAACTACATTCATGGATGTATTTATATAAATAGGTAGAGACAGCTCTGTTAAACCTTTATATTTTTGTGGGTATAGTCCCATTCACCTTCCAACCCCTGTTCAGTGTCTTTGCATCTACTCCTAAATTATTAGTATTATTTATTATTATCATCATCATCATCATCATCACAGGATTATATATGTAACAGTATTTACCTTTGTTGCTTTTAACTCTTGTGCTCCTCCCGATTTCTTCCACTGTTTAGCTCTTCTATGTCATCATGTCTTCTGTTTACTTTAGCTATTCTATGTTCAAGAGCAAGTTTCAGAGTCTCTTCTGACATCCATTTTGGTGTTTCCTTTCTTTCCTGTTTATTTTAATGACATTTTGCTTTCTTCACGTATGATGCCCTTAATGCCATCCCACATCTTGTCTGGTCTTCAGTCATTAGTTTTCAATGCATCAAAGCTATTCTTGAGATGGTCTCTAAATTCAGGTGGGATATATTCAAGGTCATGCTTTAGTTCTCATGGACTTGTTCAGCTTCAACTTAAACTTGCATGAGCAATTGATGGCCTGTTCCACAAGTGGCCTACAGACTTGTTCTGACTGATGATATTGAGCTTCTACATCCCTTTCCACAGATGTAGTCAATTTGACTCCTGTGTATTCCATGTGGTGATGTCCACACATATAGTCAAAATTTATGTTGTTGAAAAAAGGTATTTCCAATGAATAAGTCATTGGTCTCACAAAATTCTATCAGGCAATCTCCCATCTCGTTTCTATCACCAAGGCCGTATTTTCCAACTACTGATTTTATTCCCAACTTTAACATTCCAATCACCAGTAATTATCAATGCACTTAAGTGCATGTTTGATCAATTCCAGACTGCTCAAGGTGGTTTTAAAAAAAAAGAAAATCTTCCAACTTCTTCATCTTTGGAATTAGTGGTTGGTGCATAAATTTGAATAACAGTCATATTAACTGGTCTTCCTTGTGACCATGTGGTCTTCCTTGGCACATGGATATTATGCTATCACTAACAGCATTCTATTTCAGGATAGATCTTGAAATGTTCTTTTTGATGATAAATGGAATGCCGTTCCTCTTCAATTTGTCATTCCTGGGATAGCTTTCAGCATCACAGCAACATGTAAGCCACCAAAGTACAACAAACTGGCAGACGAGAGAAGAGAATCTAGAATGATACAAATCACTAAGTACTAAGTAGACTTCTTTTTCCCTATAAAAATTGCTTTGATTTCCAGACTTTTTAAGTTTTATTGTGATTTGGGTGAAAGTCTACCCAGCAAATTAGTTTTCCATTCAATAATTCACAAACATTTTGTATCATGACATTGACTGTAATCGCCACAATGTAACAGCATTCTTCCCACTTCCTCCCTGTGTTTACCATTTCCATTCATCCTTCTTTCCTAACCCTTCCTGCCTTCTGAGCATTATCCCTGGGGAAATGCTGCCCTTTTGATCTCATATGGTACATACTTGCCTAGTGTTATTATCCACCTTATAGGCCTGTCTATTGTTTGGCTGAAAGTTCAGCCAGGAGGTTGGGTTGGGGTATAAATTTATTTAGTTCTAGACTTGAAGGGTGACTAATTGCCACAGTCTCAGGATTCCGTCAGACTTTATCAGACCAGTAAGCCTGGTCTTTTTTTCTTTTAAATGATTGTGAGTTTTATTCCACATTTCTCTTCCACTCCATCCAGGACCTTCTATTAAGACCCCTCTCAGACCAGTCAGCAGTGGTAGATGGGCACCATCTACTTCTGGTCTTAGTGTTATGGAGCCTAAGGTTTACACAGCCCAGTACTCCTTTGGACTAATTGTTTCCATGTGTCTTTGATTTTCTTAACTCTTCTTTGCTTCAGATGGGGAGAGGCCCATATTCCAACTTAGATGGCTATTCAGAAACTTTTAAGACCCCACTTACTACTCACCAAAGTAGGATGCAGAACACTGTCTTTGTGGACAATTATGCCAGTTGACCCTGAAGTCCCCTTATATTTTGCCTGTACTCACAGGCCCAGTGCCCAGTCAATATTTTTAAAGGCAGAACCAGGGAACTATAAAATCTATTAGGAGTGTACCCAAAATTATCTTTCCAAAAATGTTCCTTAAAAAACAGTTTTAATTTCTAGCATTTAATAAAATTAGTTGTAATTATGTGAAAATTTCTACTTGTGGCAGATCTAATTCTCTAACAAGTATGCAGAATAAATTGGACCTTGTTATATTTATGTTTTCAATCTCAACCTCCATTATGTAAGCAGTATCTTAAATTCACCCTAAATATATACTTCCCTCAAGTTTCAAAGTATTATAGTATACTAGATTAATAACTGTTGTTCTTATGTGCTGTCGAGTCAGATCCAACTCATTGACCCCTCCTTGGGTTTCCGAGGCAGTATCACTAACGGAAGTAGATTGCCCCATCTTCCTTCCAAGGAGTGGCTGGTGGGTTTGAACCGCCAGCCTTCTGGTTAACAGTCAAGTGGCTTAGGCACTACGCTACCAGAGCTCCTAGATTAACAACTACTAGTTATTAAAAAAAAATTCTTAAAAATAACTCAGAAAAAAAAGTAAGATAAAATAAAAATAACTCAGGAAAATCTACTACTTAAAGTCCTTCTTTCTCCAAATCCACTCAAAATATGTTGTGTGGACTTTCCCTTTTCTTGAAGTACAATACTAAGAATATAGTATTACAAGTGGGGATGTCCAAAGGTTTACAAAAAGAAAGGAGAATGTGTTCTGCTTACAAAGTATACTGTTGACCTTTTTGGTTATAGCAGCAACCAATAATAAAACAAACCCTATGGTTGCTCTTCCACCACTCATCTGTCAGTCTACCATATTGTCGTGGCTTATGTGTTGCCGTGAAGCTGGAGTCTATGCCACCAGTATTTCAAATACCAGCAGAGTTAACCATGGTGGACAGGTTTCAGCAGAGTTTCCAGGCTAAGAAAGACTTGGAAGAATGTAGAAGCCATCCAGTTCTCAAAGAATTGGCCAATGAAAACCTTATGAATAGCAGTGAAACACTGTCTGATACAATACTGGAAAACTTTATGAATAGCCCTGAAACAATGTCCAATATACTACCACCATAAGATGAGCCCCTCAGTTCAGAAGGCACTCAAAATACAACTAGGGAAGAGCTGCCACCTCAAAGTAGTGCAGACCTTACTGACATGGATGGAATAAAGCCTTCAGGACCCCCATTTGCCAATAGGGAACAACTCAAAATGGGAAGAAACAACTACAAACATCCATTAATAACTGAAACATGGATGTATGAAGTATGAATCTAGGAAAATTGGACATTGTCAAAAATGAAAGAGAACACATAAAGATTAATATCCAAGGCATCAGTAAGCTGAAATGGACTGCTTTGGTTGGCCATTTTGAATCAGACAATCGTATGATCTACTACTCCAGAAGTGACAAATTGAAGAGGAATGATGTGGCATTCATCATCACAAAAAGTGTTTCAAGATCTATCGTGAAGCACAATGCTATCAGTGATAGTATAATATCCATACTCCTACAAGAAACACCAGTTAATACTGCTATTACTCAGATTTATACACCAACCACCAAAGCCAAAAATTAGGAATTTGAAGACTTTTACCAACTTCTTTTGTCTGAAACTGACCAAATACACAATCAAGATGTGTTGATTAAAACTAGTAATTGGAATGCATAAGTTGGAAACAAAAAACAATCACAGTAGTTGGAAAACATGGCATTGGTGACAGAAATAACGCTGAAGATCACATGACAGAATTTTGCACGACAAACAACTTATTCATTACAAATACCTTTTTTCAACAACTTAAATAGCAGCTAAACACATGAACTTTGCCAGATGGAATACAAAGGAATCACACTGACTATATCTGTGGAAAGAGCCACTGGAGACGCTCATTATCTTCAGTCAAAACAAGGCCGGGAGATGACTGTGGCACATACCATCAACTACTCATATGCAAGTTTAAGATGAAGCTGAAGACAATTATAATAAGTCCATGAGAGCCAAAATATTTTCTTGATTATATTCCACCTGAATTTAGAGAATATCTAAAGAACAGATTTGAAGCACTGAACACCAATGACAAAAACCAGACGAACTGTGGGATAACATCAAGAACATCATCCATGAAGAAAGTAAAAGGTCATTAAAAAGACAGGAAAGAAAGAAAAGACCAAAATGGATGTCAGAAGACATTCTGAAACTTGCTCTTGAACAGAGAGGAGCTGAAAAAGCAAATGAAAGAAATGACAAGATAAAAGAGCTAAACAGAAGATTTCAAAGAGCAGCTCAAGAAGGCAAAGTCAATTACTATAATGAAATGTGCAAAGACCTGGATTTAGAAAACCAAAAGGGAAGAACACATTCGGCATTTCTCAAGCTGAAAGAACTGAAGAAAATTCAAGCCTTGAGTTGCAATATTGAAAGATTCTATGGGTAAAGTATTGAATAATGCAAGAAACATCAAAACATGGAACGAATACACAGAGTCACCATACCAAAAAAAACTGGTACATGTTAATCTACTTCAGGAGGTGGCATATGATCAAGAACCAAAGGTACTGAAGAAAGAAGTCAAACCTGCACTGAGGGAATTGACAAAAAACAAGGCTCCAGGAACTGATGGAATATCCAGTGAGATGATTCAACAAACAGATGCGGTGCTGGAGGCACTTACTTATGTAAGTCAAGAAATCTGGAAGACAGCTACCTGGCCAAGTGACTGGAAGAGACCCCTATTTGTATCCACTCCAAACAAAGGTGATCCCACAGAATGTGGAAATTATCAAACAATATCTCTAATATCACACGCAAGTAAAATCTTGCTGAAGATAATTTAAAAACAATTGTGGCAGTATATTGACAAAGAACTTCCAACAATGCAATCAGGATTCAAAAGAGGATGTGGAACGAAGAGTATCATTGCTGTCGTCAGATGGATCTTGGCTGAAAGCAAAGAATACCAGAAAGATGTTCACTTGTGTTTTATTGACTATGCAAAAGCATTCGACTGTGTGGATCATAACAAATTATAGATAACATTGACAAGAATGGGAATTCCAGAACATTTAATTGTGCTAATGCGGAACCTGCACAAAGACCATGAGGCTGTCATTCAAAGAGAACAAAGGGATACTACATGGCTTAAAATCAGGAAGGGAGTGTATCAGGGGTGTATCCTTTCACCACACTTATTTAATCTGTATGCTGAGTAAATAATCTAAGAAGCTGGACTATATGAAGAAGAACACAACATCAGGATTAGAGGAAGACTCATTAAACTGCATTAAGCAGACATCACAATCTTGCTTGCTGAGACTGAAGAGGATTTAAAGCACTTACTGATGAAGATTAAAGGCTTTTGTTTGCAGTATGGATTACACCTCAACTTAAAGAAAACAAAAATCCTCACACTTGTAGAAC